GGCGGGCTCAGGCCGCGGGGGTCGGCGCCCCATCCCGAACGGCCCGGCACCCTGCTGTAAACCGCACGGTGCCCTCGACCCCCGGCCGCTCCAGCTGTGCTGTGCCGGGCCCTCGAGGGCAGGACGCCTGAGGCCCCCGCCCAGCAGTAACCTTGTCTCTTTGTCTCCACGCGCCCAGCGGCCCCATGCGCGCCTATATCCTGGCCCACGAGGACGCCGTCGTGCGCTGGAGGTCTCTGATGGGACCCACCAGAGTGTCGCGAGCCCGCAACACGGCGCCGGACTCCATCCGGGGAGCCTACGGCCTCACGGACACGCGCAACACCACGCACGGCTCAGGTGGGCGCCCCGCTCCTGGGCCGCCCGGCCGGGGCAGAGCGCAGGGGGATTCACTCTGCACGCGCTGGTGGTGCCTCCCTGGTCCCACAGGCTCAAGTCCTGGGGCTTCGGGACACGCGGGTGGCACTCGGGCCCCCAGCCACATCTTCTGCCTGTCCCCCTGGGATGCAGCGTGCAATGAAGTGCAATGGTGGCACCTCCTTCTCCCCTCTTCTCTTGCAGACTCGGCAGCGTCGGCCAGCGAGGAAATCGCCTTCTTCTTCCCCGAGTTTGACGAGAGGCGCTGGTACCAGGAAGATGAGCCACGCCTGCGCTGTGGCCAGGCACGCTACAGCGTAGAGGAGCGCGTTCACCAGGTGCCCGAGGAGGAGGGGACGGAGTCGGCCTAGGGTGGAGCAGAGCTTCCTCAGGAGCTGACCCCTTGGGCACTGCCTGTGTTGGCACTGGCCCGGGTGTCTGCCCACACCGGAGGGACGTGGAGCAGCACCGTGTCTGGGGCAGGGCACAGGGATCAGGCCCAGTTCACGTGGCATGCTTTGGACGCTCTCGTTGGGGCGGGTCTGGATGCAGGTGCAGCCCCTGGATGCCACTGGTGCTTCAGGAAGACCAGAGCTGCTCCCAGCAGGACGGGGCGAGCTCCTGTGAGCTGCCTGTGCAGGGGCAGGTCAGCACCAGCTCTAGGCATGGCGGGTGGAGGCTGTTTGGCAGTTTTGATGTTTAGACACCTTCGCTGCTAGGAAACTACATCTGTTGTCCACCTTCAGCTCCCAGCTCCAGACTTGTCTGGCCACGGCGCTGCCCTGAGCGCTCGCCGGAGGCTGTGAACTGCGGGGGCCTGAAGTCCTCCCTCGGCTGCTGCTTCCCACTGCCATCTGCCCCCTCTCGGTGCAGCTGGGTCCTTTGTTTCCAGGTGCTTTGCTTTGCATTTGGCTGTATCGAGCTGCGTTTTGTTGGACTGCTGATGAATCAGACCATTCCGATCCCTCTAGCAATAAGCCGTCCTCCTCATTTACTGCCGTGCCAAAGTATGTGTCCTCCACAGCCCTTTTCAGCAGAGGTTTTGCTCTGCCGCCACCCAGGCTGTGAATGAGAACACCGGGTGCTGCTGAGCAAGGAACCGGATGCAGGGTGCTGCTGGCTGGTGTCTCCCCTTCCCAGCTGCAGCTTGGGATCCTGCTGAGCCAGCGTTTCATCCCTGAGTTCCCTGCCACCCCCCTTGCTCAAGGTGTCCTGAGCTGCTGAGTGAGAGGCCTCGGGAGAGGACCAAAAGTCCCGTTTCACGCAGATGCCTCGATCAGCCAGACCTGTGATCTTGTCAAAGAGGCACAGCAACTGCATCTACTCATGCAATTAATGTGCATGAATAAGCTCCATAGTTTTTTGTTCCTGGGCACGCCATATTAATGTCCAACTGGGAGCAAAAAACTCCGGCGCATGTTACTCCAATGTTTATTCCTGCGCAGCACATGGAGTCCAGTCGGAGCACTGTCGACTGGCTGAGGACTCGCTGGGTCACCCTGCCAGCCCAGGGCCGCTCCAACCGGGCTGTCTGTGCTGCGCAGGGGCTGGCTGGGGCACGAGGGTGCTTCAGTGTGGGGGCTGCCTGTCAGCTAGCCCTGCCGTGAAGCACCCACATGCCCCAGCCAGCCCTGCCACTGTCTACCCATGTGCTGTGGTGCGCCAAGCAATGCTGCTGCAGGGTAGTACTTGTGTTTCGGCAGGCTACCCCATGGTGGCCTTTATTAGTCTACTGCGACCTAATGGGGTTGTACTTGTAGATGGTGACATTTTGCTGTGGAGCAAATGTCTCGTGCAGATGCACCCAGCTTTGAGGAGACCTGCCTTCCACGAGGTCGTGCTGCCTCGGTGCTGATTCGTGCTGCCCGATGAGTAGGAGTTTGTGGCAGGTCACTGGGGAGGACTTGGGAGGGTGGAGACCTCGGTCAGTCCACCTCCAGTTTTTACTAGATGAATCCCAGTCCGGTCCTGGCTGCTGGCACGGTAACGCCAGGCTCAGCCAGCTGCAGCTCTGGGGTCTGGTACGCAAGGGAACAGCAACAGGAGCAGCTTCTTGTCATCCTGTTTTTCCCACCTCTGGATCATCCGTCAGCAAGCACGTGTCCGTGGTGCAGGAGACAGCCCACCAACAGAGTATTAAGCTGCACTTCACATCTGCACTGATAATAGACTACAACTCGTGAACAGATTTCCTATGCTAACAGCATTGACACGGTGAGGTTGGGGGTCTGACTGGCTGATCCAACAGAAGGAGCTATGGAGACGCGGTGGGGCAGCAGACCCTGCAGGTAGTTGGACAGTCCGGTGTGGATCTCAGGCCAGCCAGCTGGGCCAGGCCTCTAGGAGTCGGGCTGGTTGCTTCCACTGAATTAACGGCTGAATTTTTATTCCAAGATGACCCAGGCTGGCAGGTCTGTAGTTCCCCAGCTAACCCAGTTCCCCCTCCTCAGTACTGGACTCCACGTCTGTCCCAGTTCAGCTGGGATTTCCCCAGGTTTCCAAACTCGGTTTCCAGTAGTGGTGCCGACTGCTCCTGAGCTCGTTCTTCCAAGGTGCTGAGGTGTGAAGTGCTAGGTGAGAGTTACGTGGGCCTGGTGAGGACCAGATAATGCGTCTAGACGTCCTCTGGTTACAGCAGCTGAGGTTTCTGTTCCATTCACCACCTTCCCTGGGTTGGATCCATCCCCCGCTCTATTCCGTCTACAGCAAGGAAACATCTCAGCTATTTCGGCATTTGTATATAGCTGTCTGTGACTCTGCCAGCTGTATCTATGTGTGGACCCTGGCCTCGCTTAGTGTAAGACTTGCCTCAAGTTGGTTTAAAAATGTCTTTTTTATCTGTAGCCATTCATAGGACTTTTAGATTCTTTTATCAGGCACCTAGATTTTTTTACTTAGAATCATAAAAAAGGGGGTGTGAAGGGACCTCAGGAGGTCATGTCTAGTCCAACTTCATGCATCACCTCAGCCAAGGCTTTGTAAAGCAAGGCCTTAAAAACCTCCAAAGATGGAGACTCCACCACCTCTCTGGGTATCCAGTTCCAGTGCTTCACTACCCACTTAGTAAGAGAGTTTTTCCTAATTCATAGATAGATTGTAAGGGACCTTGGAAGATAATCAGGTCCAGCCCCCTGCATCAGGCAGGAAAGATAACTGGGGTCAGGTGACCCCAGCAAAGTGACTGTCAGGTCTCCTCTTTAACACTTCCAGGATAGGTGATTGCACCACCTCTGGGGGGGAGCCTATTCCACAGTCTGGACACCCTGACTGTGAAGAAGATTTTCCTAAAGAGCCAAGATACACCACCATTGGTCACCAAAGGGCTTGTCTGGGATTTGAACCCAGGACCTCTCACACCCGAAGCGAGAATCATACCCCTAGACCAACAAGCCACATAAAGTTAACATCTAACCTCAACTTCCCTTGATTTAACTTGAGCCCATTGCTCCTTGTTCTGTCATCCGCTCCCACGGAGAAAAGCCCAGCTCCATCCTCGTTGCAGCTGCCTTGCAGGGAGGTGAAGGCTGCTATTCAGTCCCCCTCGGTCTTCTCTTCTGCAGACTCAGCCCAGTTCCCTCAGCCTCTCCTCACCAGTCATGTTCCCCAGTCATGTCCCCCAGCCCCGCAACCATTTTCATTGCTTTCTGCTGGATTCTCTCCAACTTGTCCACATCCTTGCTGTACCTGAGTGGGGTGGGGTGGCAAAACTTGGCCTTGGTGGATCCCTGCTGACTGTCCCTAATAAACTTTCCCTCCTCCAAGTGCTTAGAAATAGATTTCTTGAAGACCTGCTCCATGACCTTTCCAGGGACTGAGATGAGGCTGATGGACCTGTAGATCCCCAGATCTTCCTTCTTCCCTTTCTTAAAGATGGGCACTAGATTTTCCTTTTTCCAGTCATCCAGGACCTCTCCCTACCACCATGAGTTTCCAAAGATGATGGCCAGTGGCTCTGCAATCACATCAGCCAATTCTCTCAGGTGCATCACATCTGGTCGCATGGACTTATACATGTCCGGCTTTTCTAAGCAGCCCCTAACCTGGGGGTGGCAAAATGCGGCCCGTGGGCCAGATGCGGCCCAGCAGGCCATTCTATCCAGCCCGCGGGACCCCTAAAAAGTTTAGAAAATTAATATTTACCTGCCCCTGGCTGCCTGTCATGTGGCCCTTGATGGCTTGCCAAAACTCAGTAAGTGGCCCTCCGCCTGAAATAATTGCCCACCCCTGCCCTAACCTGTTCTTTCATCACTGAGGGCTGCTCACCTCCTCCATGAGCGGTACTTGCTACTACTTCACTTTTTTCTGTCGTTTACATAGAGATTTTGGTGCTGCTGCGGTTTATTCATTCTTGCACATCTTTTGACTGGTGAATTTTCATGTTTCTGGAATTGTAGCTTTTCATAGAAATCCTAGAGCCGTGAGGCTGGAAGGGATGTGCAGAGGACACATGTATTCCTGCCTCTGCCTGCGGCAGGATCATCCCTGTCCAAGCAGCCCATAAAACCATAATTTAAACCAGGGGCAGGCAAAATGCAGCCGATGGGCTGGATTCGGCCTGCCAGGTGATTCAGTCCACCTGCGGGGCCCCTCCATAAGTCGAATGATCATGGGTCCTTGCCCTGGGCTACCCCTCTGGAAGCCGGTGCCTCCGTGCTAAGGAACCATCTCCCGTCCCAGCCTAGCCTGACTTGCCCCCGCCCCAAGGTCAGGGGCACTGGGGACAAGAAGCTTCTGCCTGGCAGAGGCTTTTGCCTGCCCCCCCTTCCCCCCGCCTGAGGCTGTTTCCAGCCTCCCTGCCTTCAAGAGTGGGAGTTGAGGCACAAGCCCCCGCCAGGCCAGAGCCAGAGCCAGAGCCAGAGCCAGAGACTCCCACTGGGGTAAAGGGGGCCAGGAGCACAGGGAGCCTGCACTATGGGGCTGGTCGGGCTGGCCCTGCCCCCTGCCACTGTGTGTGCCCATGGACTGGGGTGGGAGCACTTGGCTCACTGATGCCATGAGCAGCTCCAGAGACTGGCACACTCCAGGGACACCCCCCAGAAGCTTCTGCCTGGCAGAGGCTTTTGCCTGCCCCCCCTTCCCCCTTCCTGAGGCTGTTTCCAGCCTCCCTGCCTTCAAGAGTGGGAGGTGGGGCACAAGCCCCCGCCAGGCCAGAGCCAGAGCCAGAGCCAGAGCCAGAGACTCCCACTGGGGTAAAGGGGGCCAGCCCACCCCAGTCACATACTCCACCCCCCGCCACACTCCTACCCTCCCCCACACACCTCTTGCCCCCCCATGCAATGTACAAGAGTTAGACTGTATTTTGAGCTATGTTGCAATCACTTCTAGCTACATGATGCAAAAGCATGTAAATCATGACAAAATATTTTTTAAATAAAAATAAGTTATAGCAAATGTTCGATTTTTTTTATTTTTATTTTTTAGTCCACCCCCCGCCACACTCCTACCCTCCCCCACACACCTCTTGCCCCCCCATGCAATGTACAAGAGTTAGACTGTATTTTGAGCTATGTTGCAATCACTTCTAGCTACATGATGCAAAAGCATGTAAATCATGACAAAATATTTTTTAAATAAAAATAAGTTATAGCAAATGTTCGATTTTTTTTATTTTTATTTTTTAGTATAGGAGTTGTTTTTTTTTCCCAGTGTCACGATGACAACCCCCTCTCCTAAAAGGAGAACTTCTGGAGCAAGGAGAGGGACTTCCATTGGCAAGAGGGACTCCTGTGTTGGGATGGGACTCCCAGTCCCAAGATGGTAACCAGGGGGTGGGGCAGCTGTCCAGCTACCCATGTGGCCCTCACAGCTGATCAAAACTTGTTAATCAGCCCTGCAGCTGAAATAATTGCCTGCCCCTGGTCTAAACTCTACACAAGATACCCTTACCCCTGACACAGCTCCAGGCATCACCACTGCCCCTACCCCCGGGAAAGCAGGGGGACCGCGACTGCCAACATCCTGCTACTGCCAGGCTGAGGCCGTGCCCCCGCTGCAGAGGAAGGGGAAACCCCCCAGTTCGCACCAGTGTGAGCAGGGGCGAAATCCTTTCCTGCCCCAGTGCAGTGTGGGCTGAGCCTGAGCGCAGGGGCAAGACCCTCCAGCCAGGACCCTGCGGGGTTGGTGCCAGCAGGAGCATTGGCACGGCCCAGTCTCATCCCCAGCCTGGCCTGCAGCAGCACCTCTTGGGGAAGCTTCAAACCCCCCTGACACATCTCAGCCCTGGGCAGACTGCAGCAAGTCAGGGTGACATGGGCTCTGCGCTGTGGTCCTAGCTACTGGCATCTCTTCTCTGCAGAGCGGCTGCCTGGAGCCCTGCTCTCTGCCCCAGCCAAGCAGCCTGGGAGGCAGAGCTTCCTCATAACTGCACTGCTTGGGTTTTACATGCGTCTCCTCTCCTTAGACACAGGAATTCCTGCCTCAAAGTTGCGCTGCCCCAGGGCCTTTGACACTCAAGACTCTAGCTGCCCAAGCCCTGGGTCCCGCTCTCACAGCTACAAGTGCCAGGCAAGTTCCATGGCCCCATCGAGCTATGGCCCCCACAACCCCATTGCAGACAGTGCAAAGAAGGGGTCTGAAGTGTCTGAGCTGCCCTGGATGCAACAGTCCTGCCCTGCGATGGCTAGAAAATTTAGAGGTTTGCTTCTAGAAACTGGCTTGTAGGTAAAGTAGATATGCATTACAATAATGGTTCAGGGCAATGACAAGGGTTAATTGATTTCTAAAAGCCTGTTTATGACAAAGTTTGCTTCAAGGCCTATGGTGTCTGGAGCCAGCAGACACACAGGCTGGGAAATTAAAGACATGTACCACACTATTCCATAACAGAAACAAGGGACTTTGGTGTGTTGGCTTGGTCACAGTGCCCAACTGCACAGCCCTTGATTTCTGGCTTTGGGAAAGACCAAATTAGGAGAAACTGGTAAAAGCCCAAATTAGGATGTATACATGTGTTGGGTTTGTTGGAACAAAGGAATATGCTGACAGGACAGATCATGGACCACAGGGAAACCAATCAACATGGCCCAGAGATGAAGAGTCATCAGCAGGCAGAAAGGATGCAAAAGGAGGAATTTCAAAGCAGCAAAGTGTCCCCGAGAGGGGAATCTGAGGCCACCATAGAAAGGGGGCACACTAGCAGCCCCTCACCCACCCCCATGGAGTGGGGTGGGCCTTGGTCTTCAAACTCCAAGCTGCTGATGCATGACATTCAAGAGAAAACCTCAGGGTGAAGCTCACGTACTGCCTGATGTACCTTCCGGCCCTTCTTCTGCAAGCTCCCATTCCCGGAGAGGGTCACGTTCTCCATAAAGTGGACACAGACGTTGCCTTTTTTGCTGCCATTTCAGAAGGCCAAATGCACAGATGTCCATGCTCTTTGTCCTGCCACAACTGCCCAGAATCTGTGGCTGCAGGAAAGGTGGTCGTAGTTCCTGTTACGGCTGATGGTTTTTTTGCTGACCAGTGTGAGAGCGCGGGCAGCCCAGAGCTAGGCTAGGGTCTCAGGACTTGAGGGGCCTGATCCTGCATGCCCTGGGAATTTCCATTCAGGATCAGGCCCCATAAATCCCAGGAGTGCCTGCCTGGCTTTCCTCACTTAGAAATGCACCTCAGAGATGCCCTGGTGTGGGTCGCTGCAAGCGGAGGAAGCTGGGGTCCCACATGTAACCGTGCCCCAGGGGCTCTCTGAGGGACACCTCGGTAAGCAGGGAACATGTGGCCCATTGTCCTGCCTCGGTTCCCTGCCCAAAGCGGGACAAGGGGCAACGTATGCTTGACCCCGTGAAGTGGATTAGATGTGCTGGAAACGTCCTGTCACAGTTCGTCCGGCTCATTTGATGATACCTTTTTATAACCTAAGAGAGTCAAGTCAGTAATTTTCCATGAATCACGATGATAAGCTTCTTGAATGTCCTGGTAGATCAGGACTCACCTCCTAGGCATGACCGTGACCTGGCCCTGATTCCCCAGGTGTGGAAACACAGTCCCTCCTCTTGTGCCCAAGCACCTTCTTCAAGGCCCCCCTCACGTCCTGGTTGCGGAGGCTGTAGATGAGGGGGT